AAGAATAATAAAGGCCTTTTCATCATATGATATACATATATATATATATATATCGAATTATTGGAAGATTTTAATATACTTTATATAATAGTAACAGGGGTGTGCGATAGACTTACCTCCACGTGGTGCACCTTGGGCAACGTATACTCATACGGCAAAAAATTCTATTGACCGGCAGTTGACTTCTGACTTCAAACTGCCATGACCCCACTGTATGCCATACTCGACCCCTTCCACAGTACTCATCTTACCTTTACTCTGCCTTCTTGCCTGTCTCTGTTACATCTGTGAATCATTATTCTGTCCCCCCTCTCGACTTTTTGTCACTTTGATGTTCCTCCTCCTCTCTGTGAAGCCCGAAGTCAGTTAAATGGCTAATTATATATTAGTAACAAAATGCATTAATGCATACACCCCGCAATATTTATTCTCCCCACTAGTATTAAAATCAATGTAAAAATTTATTTAAAGTGTTTCTTGATATTTATTCAAAATTTTGCTTTATTTTACTTTAGCATGCCTATGTATTCAAACTCTATAAAAAGTTAAAAAGAAATCAAAGTTTCTATAAGCAATTTTTCAATTCATTAAAACACATCCCTTTTAAAATGATCACAACCAGATGATAACTATTTGAGATATAAGTGAAAAATTAAAATTTTCCATTTGTAGAAATTATTTTGCTTCTATTAGAATAACTTTTTAAGGCTTTTAAGGAAATTGTAAGGAATGCATAAATAAAGATTAGCTTGGCTGAATAGAGCAATCTAGAATGAGAGGCCTTGCTGCGGATTGTGACAGATTGCAGAGGCTTCTCAGTCAACCATCAATCGATAATCGCTGTTTAGTAAGCGAAACCAAATTGTATCTCAATGGCAATGTTCTGTGTCAATGTAACCAAGTGAGACTAAAAGCTTTTCACACCACACGTTCTGTTTCTTCAATATTTATGAGATAACTCAGCTAATTTCGGAAACGTTTCCGTGCTAGGGCAGTTTGACCGGGCACTTTGTGCGGTATTCACTTTAAGTGGCTTTGAAAAATACTTCGTGTGAAAAGCGCTTTATATTTTGGCACATTAAGTTCAAAATTATAAAAAAATAACTGTAAAGGACAGAAATATAACCTATCACCTCTAGACCAATTATACTATGATTTTCTTTTGTTAAGTTACCCAGAAATCCAAAAAGGTATTAAAATATTTCATAATTTTGTATTGAAAATTATAAAAATTCAATATTCCTATTAAGCTCTCGAAATGAACGATTTCGGACAATTAAAATTACTCGTATTTCTAAAACGACAAGGTCCTTACTTCATTGGAAATTATATAGATTAAATTCAATTTTGTAAGATATTTATTGGTTGTTTTAAGGAAACGCAAAGAAACCAGATTGACTTACTGGAATTTCCATCAAATTGGAAGGATGGTGAATTTGAAACATCGTCTTCTAGTAAATAAAAGCCAAATCAATTGTTTTTATCTTTTCCACAAAATTAAATATTTAATTAATTTTTGACCTGGGAATGAAAACATCGTAGAAATCGATAAATATATAGTTTTAAACAATATTGACTGAATGCTTTTTATTTCTTTTTAGTTGGAATTAAAGTATTAAATTCCAGCAACGTTCTTTGAGGACTTTGGGAGATCTGCTAAGTCAAATATTAATCTCAGAGGTCTTTTTTAAAGTTCATTGAAATTCATTTAACTATTTTCACATATAAATGACATCACGCACATTTGAATCAATAGTTATTAGTACTTTTTGAATTTATATTGTTAGCCTAATGCTAGATTTAAAATGATTTTATCGCTTTAAGAAAATGCCATCATGTAAAATGGAGATTTATTTAATCTCACTTTTGTTTTTGCAAACAAAAGATAAAATATATAATGTAATGAAAGTTGAATAGATTGAAAGGCTACATAATTTAGCGGGTATATACACTTTTCCAAATAGACTTGAAAAATTGAAAAATTAATAACAATAAAATCTAACTATTTAATTTGGGAAATTTTTGGTTAGCATTCTAAAAATTAATTTTATATTTTAAAAATATACTTCCATCAAATTTAAATTGTAATAATATTTGTTGGAGTTTATTGTGTATTAAGTTAAAAGTTATTGCCCGATATTTTGGCTATTATAACGCCATGTGCAATCTGAAAAATTGCCAATACTCCTCAAATAGCACCGGACACGATTGCTTGAAAAAACTCCTTCACAGATTGGGAGTATACACTCAACCCACATGCCCCCTATGTAACCAACAGGAAGAAATGGAGAAGACCCACCTGTCTATGTGACCTACAGGAGGAAACGGAGAAGACCCACCATATGTAACCTACATGAGGAAATGGAGAAGACCCATCTGAGTGAAACCTACAGGAGGAAATGGAGAAGACCCATCTGATTCTCTACAGGAGAAAATGGAGAAGACCCACCTGATTCGGTGTTCAAAGGAGGAAATGGAGAAGACCCACCTGATTCGGTGTCTAGCGGAGGAAATGGTGATGACCCACCTGATTCGGTGTCCAGCTCTAAAGACAACGCAGACCCACCTGATTCGGTGTCCAGCTCTAAAGACAAGGACATGGAGTCTGATTGTGAAACCTACAGGAGGAAATGGAGAAGACCCATCTGATTCTCTACAGGAGAAAATGGAGAAGACCCACCTGATTCGGTGTTCAAAGGAGGAAATGGAGAAGACCCACCTGATTCGGTGTCTAGCGGAGGAAATGGTGATGACCCACCTGATTCGGTGTCCAGCTCTAAAGACAACGCAGACCCACCTGATTCGGTGTCCAGCTCTAAAGACAAGGACCGCCAGAGATACTGGGAAGCAAGAAGACAGCTACTATAGACCCACCTGATTCGGTGTCCAGCCCTAAAGACAACGACGCACCTGATTCGGTGTCCAGTCCTAAAGACAACGACGGAAACCCAGAGATCCATATCCAGCTGAAATGGAGAAGACCCACCTGATTCGATGTCCAGCCCTAACGACGGAAAGCCAGAGATACTGGGAAGCAAGAAGACAGCTTACGGAAAGCCAAAGATACTGGGAAGCAAGAAGACAGCTACGGAAAGCCAGAGATACTGGGAAGCAAGAAGACAGCTACAGGAAAGCCAAAGATACTGGGAAGCAAGAAGACTGCTAATGTCTGCTATTAATTAACTGCTATATATGTACCCCCCACCCATGGGCTGTGTTAATAACCGCTATAAATGTACCCCCCCCCCCTCTTGGGGAAGCTGAAGTCAAAGATTAAGGCTATAAATGTACCCCCCCCCCCACCCTTGGGGGAAGATGAAGTCAAAGTTTTTCCGCTATTGATTAACTGCTATAAATGTACCCACCCTTCCTTGGGGGAAGCTGAAGTCAAAGTTAAATTGCGAATGATACCCCTCCAATGTACCCCCCACCCTTGGGGAAGCTGAAGTCAAAATTTTAAGCAAGAAGACTGCTAATGAACTGCTATTAATTAACTGCTTTAAATGTACCCCCCCCCTCTTGGGGGAAGCTGAAGTCAACATATGTACCCCCCACCCTTGGGGGAAGCTGAAGTCAAAGCTTATGTAGACCCCCACCTATGGGGGAAGCTGAAATCAAAGTTTAAGGGCTAATGATAAATATCATTACCTATGGGGGAAGCTGAAATCAAAGTTTAAGGGCTAATGATAAATATCATAAAGCCTGCCATTTGAAAAAATACTCCTCAAATATGTTAGGCTTTGTTAAGGAAGACTACCAAGGTGACCAAAACTTTTAATTACTAGATTTGCTCAATGTAGTTCTGATTTACTTAAATTAAGCGGTTAAGTGATTAAAAGTTTGAGCAAAAATAACACTTTTGTTTTTTTATTTGCCGGATGGTATACTATTCCTAACAGCAGTACTGTTTCAGACAGCGAACTGCAGCATTTGTATTTATATTTTCTCAAACGGATTTTGAGACTTTAAAGACTACAATAGAGGCAATTGTTCTTGTTAATAGATTTTGTTAAAAGACAGGACGTGAAAACAGAGCTACTCTAAATCGTAACCGCCAACTCCCCATTCATATCCGCCAATTCTTTAAATAACTGAAAGCTGAGCATATTTAAACAAGATACGATATATAGTGTGTAAATATGGTGTAGGCTAAGCGATCAGATAACGTACGGAATATGCCTTTTCGTTCCTCTTCATCTGTTAGAGTCACAATTTCATTGTCATTCTTGACATTCATGGATTTGCTAATTGAGGTTGAACTGCCTGTTGGGTGTTGGAAGATGAGAATTAAGAGCAAGTGCACAACAAAGCACTGGAGAACGACGCACTTGGTTACCATCTTGTTAATCTGCATGATAAGATTCAGGCATTAAACCACGTCGACTATAAATATATATATATATATATATATATATTTGCTTGCGATCCAATGATCAACCAATAACATGGTGATGCATATTTGTTTAAATTCAATAAAAAAATAATGACTTCATTTTATTTGAATTGAAGAAATTAGTCATTATCCAAAAATTTCATGACAACAACCTCCAATTAGGCGGTTGCTTTAAATGCAGGTATATGAAGTATTTATTTTGCTGACATATGCTCTGCCAAGTTGTAATAATTAAATAGTAAAAAAATTCAAGTCTCAGATCGAAATATGACACTTAAAAGTAAATAGATCGAATTATTTGTAGTAAATAACGCATCGTTATATCGTAGCACAACTTACCAAGGATCATTCGAATTTACTTTCAATAGATTGCAGAGATGGTAGCACTATATGTACATTATTAGAAGAACAGGACAGACGTTTTTAAAAATTTCAATAGATAAATGTGGTTTGAATTCTCTTAATATTATTTCTCTAAAATAAAATGAAAGCTACTTCACTGAGCAAATATTAGCTAAGGTGACAATTAAGAAATTTCAATTTTTAATCCTTCTAGTTTTCAAGGTCATTATTATGATTTTGTAACCCTTCAGCAATGCAAAATAAGGTACACAACTTCATTTGGCTAATTGAATGGAATTGAAAAGTACTCAACTGATTGATAGGGCCTTCCTCTCCCTTTAAAAATGACATAAAATTGCATTCATCCTCAAGGCCTGAAGCCGTTCAATCACTTCCTACCTCTAAACCATCCTTGGAGAGGCAGCAATCAGTCCTGAAAGTCCGTCACATTGATTATTTGAAAAATTATATATGTTGCTTCGAGGGGTAAAAAGTTTTAATGCACCTTTCCGCATATTCCAAAACACTTATCTCTTCCACTTAATAAAATCTCCAACATTTCCGGAGCTGGTGTAGCCAACTTTGAACTTATGCAAAGCACACCGTAGTTTTTGTTCTTGCACTAAACACGTTTTTTTCTCAAATAAAAAATGTCAAATTTAGTTACCAAATTTGCCACTGTAGATGAGCGTCCATCTCATCAAGATCGTATACATTACCTTCAAATCCACGTTTCCAGGTCTCATTGATATCAGTCTTGCTAGACCTCTCCGATGTATTCAATTTATTCGGACAAAATCGAATACTGTCATTAATAGTCTCGGACAGGTATTCCAAAATCAAGATGAACCAAAAGTCACACTCTCACTCCGACTCAACTTTGTATGGTCTAAGCACCTCTAATTAACATTTTGCCTAATTTAAGAGGCGTGAGTGAGGAATCTTTAGAAAACTTCTTGTGTCACAGGCAGACGAAACGACGGATGAGATTCGTGGCGCTTTACACGTTAAGTACCTAATGACGAGTGATATTGATGTCTAAACTCTTAGTTCCCGGGCACAGTTTTGACTGTCAAGCTGAAAACAGAGTTAAAGGAGATTTACCTTTGCTCGTGTTATCTACATCCGCTGGGCAACATCCAAACTCCGGCGAATCAACTTATACGCTCCATCAGTCCTAGGAAAAGAGTCAAATTAGATCCAACTTTGAAATATGCGGAATTTTATAATTAGTCTCTGGGGTGCGCGATGAACTTACCTTCATGTGGTGCCCCCCCCCCACCCCACCCCAAGGAAACGTATACTCTTACGGCAAACAATGTTTATAGACCACTGAC